TTTTCTGAGTTCATATGACCTTCATTTGGGTTACCAGCCTCTACTGATGCTTCTTTCAGGTTTGATTACAAATCCCCAGGGAAATAAATAGGGATAACCCAAATTGGCTATTTTTGGTTCTATCAACTATGTCCAATTGATGGGCAAAGTAGTTCAAGGAAAGCTTTAGGGGTCCTAGTCCTTGACAATTATGCTTTTGCTGTTTCTTAGGGATCTTAAAGAACTTAAAAATATTTTCTTCCATGTATGATTTGAAAAGGCAACCTAAATATTTAAGCAAAAATAGAGAATATGAGGGGAATCAGAACATCTTATGTCATTTATCCCCCAGTCTCTGAAACAGCAGCTTAGACCTTTTGACTCATTAGATCCAATGAATGAAATTTTGGAGAGCTTTGAAGGCCTTCATGTCATATTCCAAGTGTCCAGCAGGGGACAGGCTGACCAAATAAATACTTTGCTACTGAGAAACAGAGGTGGCGGCCGTGAGAGCTGACTGCAATGACAGGAGCTATTGGTTTGGGAATCTCCTATTACCTCTGGGATCTCATATTACCTCCAAGAAGTGTAAAAAAAAAACAAAACACTTTTCTTTGAGAGGGTGAAAACGGGGCTGTTAAGAATCGAATCTACGACCCCCAGTTCTAGGCAAGTACTCTACCATTGATCTCCATCCCTGACATCTGAATATCTTTAAAGCCTAAGAAATTCCATACTAGATAATCACCATGACTCCTTACCATTTTCTGGGCCAACTCAGCCCTATTCTTGTGTTCCCAAACATTGGTTCAGGGCCTTAGCCTCATTCCCTGTGTCCTCTTTCTTTTTTTCCCTCCTCTCCTACAGAAACCTGCCTTCTGGTGTGTGTGGGTGTGGGTGTATAAACATATGTATATATGTATGCATATATAAATTTCATAGATTTCTAGTTCAGTGCAAGCACAATTTAATTCAGTGCAAGCACAATTAAGACTATTACTATTGCTGAGTGTGGTGATGCATACTTGTAATTTCAGCATTTGGAATGCGAGGTAGAAGGATCACAGAGAAAATTTGGGGTCTACATTTTCTGTGGTTTTTGTTGGTGACAGAAAAAGAAAAGCCTGTAAATAAGTAATCTGTTAAAATTACTCAGGTTTATTTTATTATTTATCTTACTTATTTAAGAGACAGATGCCAGTTGCCAATGGCTCCCAAATCCAGCCTAGGCAAAAAAGTCTGTGAGACTCCATCTCCAAAATAATTAGCCAATAGTTAGCTAGGGTGCAGGTATGGTTTAAGTGAGACTGTTAGTAGAGTAAGCAAGCCATGTCAAGGCAAGGCTTGGAGTTCAAGCCCTAGAACAAAAAAAGGAAAAAGAATAAATGAATGAATAATGAAGTAGGTATGTCAGTAATTTCTTATTTTGCCAACTTTAATGGAGTGTTTTTCTCCAAATGAATACAACTGTGGATCTATTAATTAAATATTCTTCATTCTAAAATATGCATATGATGCCTTGTTAATTTAACTCATGAGTAGATAAGTTATATATATACATATAGTATATATATATATATATAAATCAATTTTAGTTGTAGTTTGCTGGTTTGGAAACCTAGCCTTTTTTCTTTTCAATGATTGACCTAGGGAGGACTCAACTCAGGAAGAAGTGATGTTGGGACCATGTTTGTGATGGTCAGTCCTGATTGTCACCTCAGTTGTTAACTTGGCTGGATAGTCTCCAGATTTCTAAAAATCTTTGGGTGTGTCTGTGAGATGTTTGCAAAGAGGACTAGCTGAAGGTGGGGGAGCCCCTCCCTCTTGAATGTGGGTGGTGGCATTCCTATGCTGAGGGCCAAATGAAAGACCTGTTGTGGAAATGTTCTAGCTCTCTGCTTCATGGCCTCCATGAGGTGAGCTGCACGGCCTTACCAAGCTCCCACTGATGGAAGCTGTCAGTGACTTCTAGTATGCTTGAATATGTATGTTACCTGTATAAGCATGTGTGTACATAACAATATATATGTATATGTATGCTTGTATATATAATACATGTGTATGTGACACATTTTCTCTCAAGTTGTAAACATATTTTTGCCTCTTTTAGAGGATTCTGTGTGGGAACAATTGCTTAGTTTAAGGAAGTGTTTTAGATACTTCCTGTGGTCAACAGTGTCTCCTCAGTCACGTTCTATTCACAGCAGATCCTGAGTGTTTGCAACTTCAAAAATCCCAAGTCTGTACTTGTAGTAGTATGAAATAACTCAAGATCGGCTCTCTGGGTGTCAGTTTACTCCTTGTAGATTAGGGTTTAATGATCAGCCTAGAGTTCCAGGCAAGAAGCTTATCTAGAGGATAGCTTTACTCTCATCACAGATGTCCATCCATCAGTCCTGCCATTCCTAGAATTCAAGGTGGCTATAGGGTAACTGCTCCAAGCAAAGACAGATATGAACTGAAGTCAGAGATGCCATATTTTACCCTGTCAAGTACCTGTTATAGACTTTCCTCTTGGTGTGACAGATGCCTGACATAAAAAGGAAGACTTAGTCTGTGCAAGTCAGAAATTTCAGATCATCATGGTGGGAAAAGCATAGCAGAACAGCACATATCATGGCAGACACGAAGCAGAGAGGAGCCTTAACAGGAAGTAGTAGCTACCACAAATACTACCCTTCCCCCACACACATACACTTTTCACCAATCAGTATACTTTCCTCAAATTCATCAACCAAATGCAACCAGCACAAAAAAGGGTCTGGAAGCCTGGGTCAGTGGTGGAGTGCCCAGCTAGAAAGCAGATGGCTCTAAGTTCAAGTCCTAGTAATTCCAGAAAAAAAAATATTTATCCATGTGCCAGTGGTTTACACCCTGTACGCCTAGCTACTCAGGAGGCTGAGATCTGAGGATCATGGTTCAAAGCAGCCCAGACAGGAAAATCCTTGAAACTCTTATCTTCAATAAAGCACCAGAAAACTGGAAGTGGTGGTGTGGCTCAAGTGGTAGAGCACTAGCCTTGAGCTGAA